TGTCAATCTATGTTCATGTGTTATTTTTTTAGGAATTTTTGTTAGCATCATATGCCTCAATCTCACATTGGCGAACTAGATATTCTTGAATTAAGGCCATGGTATTTGATTCCAAATACTCAGATTTCCCACAAATCAGCTATAGCACCTGTCTTAATCTATTCTGGTGCATGGATTTATCTCCTTTATTGTGAATATATAGGCTGACATTAAAGCAATTTCAAAAGCAGGAGATCATCTTTGTTTCCTATTTCAAAGGAAAGCCAACTGATTCCTAAATTTGGGGTTGCAAATTTCTAGATCTTCTTGTAGGTACTACCAAATTTACCTTGTAGAAGGGCACCAAAGTTCATTATTTGATGACAAACTAATACTAATTATTTCCATGATTATTAAAAAAGATGTTCTTTATTATCTATTCCTTAAAATGAAAATATTTTCCCAAATCAAGATGTGGAAAGAAATACGGATAGAATCATTGCCAAGATAAGGCAGAAAGGCGGAAAAGGACAAATTTCTGGAGTAGAAAGGAATCTGATATTGCCCGGAAACTTTTATGTATTTTAAAGATGAGTAGGGCTCAAAGAGCAGTCAGGAGCCAGGAGGATAGTCAACAATCTGAAATTGCACAGTCTCTGGCACATAATACATGTGTAATGAATGAATGAAGGAGAAAGATCAAGGCAGGACAGGTATAGGAACCAGGCATGCTGTTAGATGTAAAACATTGCAGAAGAAGACCTTAAAATGGAAACATTCTTAACCAGAATGCCTCTTATTCATTATCTGCTGGAACAGAGACTGTCACAATGCAGTTACATCTTAGGGTCTAAAGCTGTGGCCATCAACCTGGCTGTGTGATAAAATCACCTGGAAGTTTAAGAAGATCCCAGTTCCTAGGCTTTATTCCAGACCATTATATAAAAAAAATCTCTACTTTTGAAACTCAGGCATCAGTATTTTTTAAAATTCTCTATGTGATTTCAGGGTATAGGGCTATAAAAGGAGGAACAGTTGACTCTTACTAGCAAGACAGTGAACAGGTCACCAAGCAAGTCTTGCCGATGGAAATAATCCTGACACGCTGACACTTTTTACAACATACTGTTTATCAACATATTCTCACTATGCACTACATAATAATTATTTATTATTGGTCACTCCATGACTTTTTCTCTGTACCAGCAAGTTGGAAAAACTTACATAATAAACAGAAACCTAGCAATTTTCGGTAACAATGTAGCTGACTGGACAAGTCTTTGGTTAAAAGAACTTCAAACTTCAGTTCTTTCGCTTGAATTCCATTTCAAGTTCTGCTTATTTTTAAATGAGAATTAGGTAATTTTTAGTTGTTTTTGATATAAATTCAGCAGTCTCATAAAAACATATTTAAGAGAAGTGTTTTGGCTAAGAGAAACAAGTAAGGCTGAAGCTCCCAACCATAACTCATAATCCACCAATAAATTTATATTTTTAGTTTTTGGAGCATAATCGCTACTTAAAATTTTTATTTTAAATGTCACATATATGAGTACATTTTCAGGGAAGTCAACTAAGTACATAAGTCCCTGAGCAGGAAGATGAAACAGGAAATGCAATAAAGATTACAGACAATATAGTGATACCATCTAAAGAAGATAAAGTTATATTTTTGTGGTATGGGCACTGCAATTATTCCTGCTAGTGGAATGAAGAAGTAGCTCAGAGAATGCAAAAGTGGCTAGAATTCTTCAAATACTTGGGCATGTATTCTTTCTTCATATGTTTACATTCTAAAACTGTTTTTGTTCAGGCAATGGTAAAATCAGTCTGTCCTCTTGTTACTCATTGATGGGGAAAGCTGGGTGGAGACGGTGAAGCTCAGAAAGAGTGGGTGGCTGGCAGAAACCAGCTTCATATTTTGAAGTCAATTTACAGCAAAATGGAGGGAGACAGCACTAATGACAATTTGAGTACTACTACTTACTGATCATTATTTAACAGTATCATTGGGGTTGTATCTCTCAGGCTTTAAAAAGAGCATGGTTAAAATTGTTAGCATAGAGGGTTAGAAATACTTGTACACGATTTCTGTTTTATAGCCTGAATGGCTAACATTTTAGGGAAGAAATATAAGATCATTGAAGTGCCCAACACAAACATGCCTGGATAAGAACCCTGAGGCAAAAGAACAGAAGGATGTTGAGTCTCACCTCTTACAGGCAGCTTCCCTGCTTCTTGCTTATTCCGCTCCAGTTTTTCTGGACTCCTGCAGACTGCACCATGAAATGAAGCTTTCTGATACATTGGCCTTTTATGGCTCTCCCATTGTCTCCACTGCATTAAGTTTGGATCCTTGACTAAATTTGAAACTCTTCCAGTGAAAATTGCTTTTCATACTTCCTCTGTCACTCTAAGAGCCTAGAGAGCTTTTATTTTTTTAAACTGGTTTTTTTTTTTCTTTTTGGCTCATGGGTTCCTTTCAAAATCTGGTAAAAGCAGTATATGCTTTGCACACTAATTCAGCATGTGCACAGCCTCCCTTGAAGTCTGTCATTTATGGGAAGCTTGGCTAAAACATTGTCAACCACTAGGAAATGGTCACTATATTGCTGTTCTTTGATGATGAAATTAAAGCAGAGAAATGTTAAGTGACCCCTCAAGTTTCCAGACTAGGAGACCGGTCAGCTAAAACTTCATTATTTTGCAAACTTGACTCATTTTATCAACATGCTTTTTAATTGTGCCAGCAAAGAACAACCCAGACTCACAAAATAGATTCATAGAAATTCAAGGAAATTCTACTTTCCCTGGTTGGATAGATATGGAATAGCCAAAAAGAAAGTGGCAGGAAGAAAGCACGATATGAACAGGCAAGCTTAAAAGGGTTATACAGGAGGAAATGGGCAGGTCCTTGATTTGGCTTATTTCTCTTTCGCTTTTTATTTTGAAAACAAAATGGATTTTTTTCCCACTCTTGTATTTTCTATTTTTGATGAACGGAGATCTTAACCCTTTCAGAATATTAGTACTCTAGAAGAAATAACCTACCCATCAATTTCAGTACAAAATGAACTCATTTTCCAATAAAAAGAGAGTTCCCACTATGTTCAATGGGATGAGTAGATTGTATTTAAACTCAAGAAGAGCAGGGAACCATTGTCTTTACAATTTAAACCCAACCCCAAGCTTAAAAAGAAAAAAAGAAAATCATTGTTCAACAAGTACTACTGAAAACACTGGATATCCGCATGCAAAAAATTGAAGTTGATGCCTTACCTTATACAAAAATTAACTCAAAATGGATCATATACAAAAATTAACTCAAAATGGATCAAAGACCAAACATAAGAGCTAATAAAACTATAAGATTCTTAGAAGAAAACACAGGAAGAGCTTCATGATATTCGTATCAGATCCATTGATTTCTTTGATGTGATGTCAAAAAACATAAGCAACAATAGAAAAAGTAAATAAATTTGATTTCTTTCATATTAAACACTTCTTATACATCAAAAGAAACTATCAGTAGAGTGAGACGATACCCCCCACACAGAATGAGAGGAAATATTTGCAGATCTGATATGGGATTAATATCTAGAATATATAAAGAACTCTTACAATTCAAAAAACAAAACAAAACAAATGAAATCAAATAACCTAGTTAACAAATAGGCAGGAGACTTAAACAGACATTTCTCAAAATAAAATATTCAAGAGGCTAATAAGCACATGAAAAAAATGCTCAGAACAACTAACCATTAAAGAAATGTGTATCAAAACCACAATGAGATATCACTTTACACCCATCAGGATGGCTATTATAAAACAAAACAAAACGGAAACAGAAAATAACAAGTGTTGACCAGGAAGTGGAGAAATTGAAGCTCCTGTGAATTGCTGAAGAGAATGTAAAAAGTTACAACTCTTTTAGAAAACAATATGGTTTTCTCAAAAAATTAAACATACAATTACAATGTAATCTGGAAACTCCACCTTTAGGTGTATACCCAATAGCATTAAAAAGCAGAGAAAAGAAGAGATATTTGGACATCCATGTTCATAGCATCATTATTTCCAATAGCCACATCGTAGAAGCAACCCAAGTGTCCATCAACAAAAAAATGGATAAACAAAATGTGATATCTATATCGATATCTATATTTCATCTATATCACAATGGACTATTATTCAGCCTTAAAAAGCAATGAAATTCTGATATATACTTGAAAATATTACACTAAATGAAATTAATCCAATACAAAAGGACAAATGTTCCATGATTCCCCTAATATGAGGTGCCTCAAATAGTCAAATTCATAAAGACAGAAAGTGGAATAGTGGTTGTCAGGGCTGGGGAAGTAGGAAATGGAGAGTTATTGTTTAAATGCTCTAGAGTTTCAGTTTGGGATGATGAAAGAGTTCTGGAGATGGATAGTGGTGATGGTTGCACCACAATAAGAATGTACTTAATGCCACTGAACTGTACACTTAAAAATGATTAAAATGGTAAATTTTATATTACATATATTTTTCTACAATAAAAAAAATAACTCCTCTTAAAAGATCACTAAACCTACTAATTATTTAGAAGAGAGTACTAAACCATTCTGCCATATGCTGTTATCTACAATTTTCATATTTAATCTTATTTTTCATAAATAACTATTGGGAAACTAACTCAGGAGCTGCTGTTGTGGGCTTTTGTATGTAGTGTCCCACTGCACATACAATCAAAGAGCCTTGGAGGAGGTAGTAATGAAAAGGTAGGGTGAGGATGCTAACCCATACCTCAAATATTTATTATTTGGCAGGTATATGTTGACTGCTTACCATGTGATTGGTAGGTTGAATAAGCAACCTGAGTTTTAAGAACAAAAAGGGAAGAATGTAAAATGTAAGAGTATCCTTGCTTTGAATTTGTGTTGTGCCTGGTCAGAGAGCACGTGAAGGTAGGGGACAGATAATACTTTGCCTGGACCAACCTATGAATTCCCTTCTCAGGAGTATGCTTTTCCCAATCACAATCCAGGTTGAGTTATATTATACTCAGCAGCCTGGAGATCCTCATCTACCCCAATTTCAGGTGATTCTTCCTCATTCAGGTCTAAAGATTTTCTTCTTTGCTGATTCCTGTTGGGTAATTTCTGGTGTCTCAATGGTGCACCCTGCTGGAAATGCTCTACCAGATGTGCTACCTTCGAGGGACGTTGGAGGATCTCACTGCCAACAGTGAACCTACACAGTTGCCCCGCTTTCCAGTAGAAGGTACTCTGAGAAAGTATTAAGCTGACCTGAGGGGGTCTGATTGAGGCCCAACTCTTTTCTTGTTTGACAAAATTCACAAGGATGCAAAGATTCTTAGGAGTTACTGTGATAAACTTCTCTCTGATAACATCAGAAACTCTCAACAATGGATTGTCTAAAAGCACAGTTCAGTGTTTGTGTGCATTCAGCATCCTAATTCTTTCTGATTCACTCAGGTTTCCGAGGGCAGGGAATTCTCTTGAGCTCCCAAATCTATTTTATATCCTAAAGGGCCTGGCACTTTCCACCTCCATATCACACCTAATATATCAAAATGCATCCCATATCCAGAAACCTTTTTCTTTGCTACTAAAAAAACCTTGAAAATTATTTTTTAAATTCTGCTTTTTAAATTATTTGCTAATAAATGATTTATTTATTGTGATCTCTCAGCAATTCTGCTTTCTTGAGAATTTCCATGAAGTGAGAAAAACTGACTTAATTTTTTTATAAACGCATGAAATGTTTATTGATAATAAGAATAACAATGAAGTCGACATGATACACATTGACATGTAATTAAACATTTATTAACTTTGATTTTACATTTTTTCTTCTCCTTCCTTCCTTCCTTCCTTCCTTCCTTCCTTCCTTCCTTCCTTCCTTCCTTCTTTCCTTCTTTTCTTCCTTCCTTTCTTCCTTCCTTGTGTTTTACCTTCTATGTGATTCCTGGGAAGCCAACAACTCTATTCTTTTTTTCGCACTCCTAGAGAAAACAAAGAATTATCAATCTTAATGATTAATAGGACTTCAACTTTGGTCCATCCACCCATCTATTTATTCATCTCCTCAGACTGTTGTACTATACTATGCCAGATTCTATCCAAGTGCTGGGAATAGAATGAGGTTTAAGATATAAGACACATTTCCAAACTAGAGGGGATATTCATCTTGCGTAGGGAGAGTAAATGTGACCAGTGCTAGGGCAGAAAAATAGGTAAAAAATAGGTAGAAAATAGGGATCCTGAGTACCAATGGCATGGATTTGGGGAGAATACAAATGCTTTTTGGATTGCAAATCACTGCAATGACACTAAGATAGATGAGAGATAGAGTTAGCATGTATTTATAAATAATTATCCTAGAATTTAAGTTAAATCCTAACATGTATATTGTTACCACGTTGTTGAGACTCTAAGTGTGTTTGCTAAGAAGGGCAAAAAACATTCTTGTAATATTAAAATTTTTATTGAAAAAGTTGAAAGTATAATTGAATGATAAAATGGAGAATGTGCTATGACTGTTTTAGGAAACCACATAAACATTTTAGAAATTTCATTGTAGGAAACTTCTGTGTTTGTTCAATCAGAAATGTAAGCTATGATTGCCATAGGAAGTTAATCTTACTAGCTAATTGTGTGATGATTAAAAGTTGGACTAAGACCTTGCTTATCTATTAGGATTCTAATTAATTCCACCAGAATGAAAGACAAAGCAGATCCTTTTAGTATTAGAAACATGGCTAATGTAATTCCTCCTTGTAAAAGTATAATAATATGATTTCAGATAATTAACTGTAAAAGACAGTGAGGACTCTCAATTTTCTTAAACATGAATAAAGTTAAAATGGCACAATTAAAATTTAATAAATACCATTTATGTAAATTTAAAAAAATCCAAAGCAGGGTTGAATATATATATTTTTATTGTTATCTACATATTCAGTGTAAGTATAAAAATATGGACTGGAAGGATACACATTAACTTAATGGAAGTGACTATATCTGAGTAGGGTCAGAGAGAGGAATGGCACCCAGATTTTTTTTCAGGGGAGGGAAAGTGGTATAAAGTACTCTACTGTATCTGTAATTGTTTTTCTTAAAAAGAGGTTCTGAAATATTTATGTATATGTATATGTAAACATATATATGTACACATATAGTATATTACACATATACATATAAAGTGTATGTGATATATATCTGTTTAATGTTTGTTAATTCTGGATAATGTGAATACCTGGATGCTTATTATATTTCTGTAAACTTTATATGAACATTTTTATAATTAAAAACAATATAGCATTACAGTTTGTTTTTTTATAGTTCTGTTTAAGCATAGAGGTAGAAGACGTTAAAACTGTATGCTGTGACACATTAAGTCTGTTTTGTCCATTTTTACTACTTGTTCAGTTTTTGTCCTATGTTTATAAAGATAACCTAGAAGTTTAATACAAATTCATTTGAGACAGTTTTCAAATTAAATAACCTTAAAAATGCATATTTTTCTCCTTAATGATATCAAATAAGTTGTTCTCACCTGAAAGAATTCGCTTATCGATTTCACAGGCTATTCCCTCAAATGTGACTGGACAGGAACACAAACAGTATCCATCTAGCAGGACCGCTGTACCCCCATTTTGGCATGAGTGGCATTTCGATGTACTGAATTCTTTGACATAATCTTCAATGGCTCTTTCCAAATTTTGTTTTTTTGGGTATGCATTCTTTAGTGTCACTGGAATCAGATTATATATAGGAGACAGCTGCAAGAAAGCAAAACATTTAATTTTAGATCTTTTTCTACTGATGGAGCTCGTAATATTCTTCACTGAATTATTTATTCATTAACTAATTCAATAAGGGCTTATTGAAGAACTATTATTGCCAGATATGATGTTAGCTTTTAATACTATATTAGTTATCAAAACTAGTCATGATCTCTGTGATCATAGAGATGAATGGAAAGTGGAAACTATAATACATGTTATAAATGATGGGTATATGTGTTTTAAAATTGAACAATCATGGATTTAAGCTTTATCGACATATTATTTTATGAGTTGTTTTGCTTCCCTTTTCCCTCCTCTCCTTTTTCAGAAGATAGCCAGTTGCTTGTCTTGTCTAAGAGAAGATTTGTGCCCAAGGCCAAGTCCAGAATGCCCTTGAAGTTCTACTCTTTATTGACCTTTTACTCTAAAAGCCTGAACTCACTGGGAAATTTTTTCTGGGAGCAGTGTGAGAAGAATGCCACTGAAGGAGGAGATTCTATCAGTCCAGGATGGGGACAGAGTTAGTATGCACCTCAAGTAGCAGGAAATTAGAATTAGATCTCTAGCAGCTATTCTGGAGAGTAGCGAAAACTGTGTAGTGCCCTTGGATATCAAGGACCAGGGCTCTAGTTTTGTAAATGATTCTCATGCACAATCTTGGCATGGCAGGTGTGGAACCACTTAACTTCAAGTGAATATGTGAACTTAATCCATGAATTTATCAAGGTGACCACAGTGGACTAAATACTTACATATATCATTTCTCTGTTCCCCCAACAGAAGCATCAGAATTTTTCTATTAATTTAGGCAATCTCCCTGAACCCCATCCAACAAATTAATGAAGAATGAATTTTCTAGCAGCATGGAGGGATGGGATCTCAATGTCAAATTCAATTAGACTTAAAGAAAATGAAATAAAAGGACTTATTTTACACACTTAAATTCCTGGAGTAAGATACAAAATTGCTCCAGTTGAATCAGGGAAGCTTGGAAAGTTTTTCCTGAGAAAATGACTATTAAGCTGAGATTTTAGGGTGTTAAGGAATAGTGTATTCATCTCATATATTGCAGAATTCAAAAAGTTCATATAGTGGAGGTATTATAACATATATGGAAAACTTGTATCATATGTTCATTAAATTTAAGCAAATTTAATTGTGTGACTAGAAAGAGCTGTTTTGAGTTGATGAATTGTTAGCAATTGAGGCCCTTTGGTGGCATAGCACTTTGCAACAAGAGATCACAAAATTTAAAAGAAAGTGAAACCTAAAGATTTAAGAAAGAAGATATAAAAGATATACCACCAATTCCTGCAGCAGAGTAGTAACTGATTAAATATTGTCAACTAATACTTTTACTGAGGACAATGAGAAAAGCTGAACAAAGTAAAACCAAAATGAAAAATGTGCTTAAGGGCCCTAGAGAACTACAAGGTGATCAAACACAAAAAAGGTAATAAAAATATGGGAAGAGATGGAAATTCAGTGAGGTGAGCCTAGTATTTTGGGGCCACCAATCCCCTTTACACATTTCCTAACTGAGGAAGAGGCAGTCAAGGGGATAAGAGGGAGACCAACATATTACTGGACTGAGGGAAAGTGGTTGGAATTTAGGACCAGCAAAGGTAAACAAGCTGTACTTAGGGTTGGGACCCAAAACACTACATCCTTAGATGTAAGGAGCAAGCGGAAGTGGGGTAGCCCTGGCGAAGACTGCAACCTGGTCTGGATTAAATTAATCCTGAATTATTAGTACTCCAGAAGCTTTTCAGATGTAAATATACATTTCCTTTGGAGGAAAATAAAATCACCCCAGGTCTCAAACTACTCCTATAACAATTTTTAAAGTTTGATATCAAGTCCAAAATAAAAATAACTACGTACACAAGGAAACAAGGCAACAGGAACTTTAGAAATGATATAAGCTAGAAACAGAGCAATGGAGGATGCCAAGATTTGAGTTATTAGTCATAGACTTTAAAATAACTATGTTTATATAAGCAGAGAAGAGAAAATTATTTTTTAAAATAGAAGATTTGGAAAATAAAACAAATAAATATATTAGAACGATATAATAATACGCAAATTAATGAACCGGTTGAATAGCAGATGTGACACAACTGAAGCAAAGTTAATGAATTGAAATACAGGTCAGAAGAAAAAATATTGACCATCAAGTATGAATGATAAATATTTGGGAAATACAGAAAGAGCATAGAAAATATAAAAGGGTGAGAAGGTAAAAGATTCATATAATTTGAATCCCAGAAAGAGAGAATATATAAGAAGCATTATTTGAAGAGCTAATGGCTGAGAATATTATTAACTTGTTGACAGACATCAAGATACTCCATTAATGAAAAGCTACATTATTTTTTTTTTTCTTTTGCACCTAGGTACATCAGAGTAAAATTGCTTAAAAAAATAAATAAATAAATAAATAATAATAATAATAATAATAATAATGGAGAAAAATCTTAAAAGCTGTTTAGTAAAAAGCTGTAGTACTTTGGTCTAAGACAATGAGCTATTCATAGGGAAATTTTTTACAAAGTGACCTTCTAACTTATACCATACAAAACTAGGTTGATTGTAGATGGAATTATAAAAGCAAAGCAATAAAGTTTCTGGAAGGTATAAAAAAAGTATCTTCAATACCTTGTAGTAGGGAGTAACTTTAAATAGGGCACAAAAGCACTAACTGTAATGAAATGAAATATACATTTAACTACATCAAAAAAGAAAAGAAAAGAAAACATCAACATCATTATTCCTGATATGATGCACTGAGAAGAACACATCACTTTTGTGGTATTCAGGCCAAAATGCGTAGCCTCAATCTACTCTAAGCCTAAACTGAGAGACATTTGACACAATAACTGACCAATAATCAAAAATGTCAAGGTCATGAAAGACAAGGAAAGTATGAGGAAATGTCACAGATTGAATAAGACTAAGGGGACATGGCAACCAAATGCAATGTGGGATCCTGACTGGATCCTGAAACAGAAAAAAAAGAGATTAAGGGAAAAACTGGTGAAATTTAAATAAGGTCTGTGATTTAGTTAATGTTAATTTCTTAATTTTGATTATGGTACTATGGTTATGTAAGTTGTTAATATTATTGGCTGCTGGGTGTAGGGTATATGTGAACTCTGTACTATTTTTGCAATTTTATAGTAAGTCTAAAATTATTTCAAAAGTTAAGCAGGGTTGGGCCTGGTTAGTACTTGGATGGGAGACCACTTAGGAAGACCAGGGGCTTATAGGCATTAAAAAAAAATTAATTAATTAATTAAATTATTTCAAAACAAAAAAGTAAAAAAGAGGACATTGGTTATCAAGAATATCATTAAAAGGTGAAAGTCCTCAAGTGATAGAAGACGTTTATAACACTTTTAAGTGAGAATAGTCTCAGATCCAGAATGTATTAAGTACTTTTATAAAGTCAACACAAATGTTCACCAGCATAGTCTTTTGTGAATTAGTATGTAGGATTCAGATTTCAACTGTGTCATCTTTATTTGGAGGAAAGAAACCTCATACCAACATTGCCACATTGACACAAAAAACATAAGCATGTGGTAGAGTTATTTGGGTTTTTAAGAAAAGAAATTCATCTTGTTTTACCCTTCAAAGTCAAGTCAAGCCTAGATAATCTAAGATACAGGAATAAAGGGACATGGAGAAAATACAATTTAGATAAAATGCATAAACAGTGTTCAAAGAGATAAAGATGAAGGAAGTCTAATGGCAATAGTTTCAGAGGAACCTCAAACTCTGGAGTCAAAAATCCACAGGAAGACAATTAAAATGTACTTCTTGAAGTTTTCCTAAAGTGCCATCTTTTTTTCTGATAAACTTTGGCCTTCTGTTAAGTTAGCTATCCCAGCTAAATCTTTCTACCCATTGCGGATATATTTTCAGTGGATATAGTCTATCATGAAATTTGTTAAAATACAAAAAAAAAAATTTGACAATGAAATTTAATATTAAGTACATTCAATTTCTTATAGGCTTCCAAACTTATTAAACTATATGTACCACATGTAGTTTGTTGATAGAATGAGTGTTACTTTTATTTCCATACAAGACAGTTAGGAATGCTTTTCACTATGTTGTTATAACTATAATGACTGTAGAACAGAGCACTGATGCTCTTTAATACCTGACACATCACTCACTGCTGAAAGTTGTACAGTATATCAAAAACGGTAGACTGATTTGTTCATCATTACCCAAGCTGTTACAGAAAGAGCTTAGTATAGCTTGACGTGTGGGTGGATAAGAGTGGTTGAAAAAAATGAGAAAAAGAGAACTGAGAATGGAAAAGGCAAGACAAAGTGAAAAGCAACACAAGTACACAAAACTTATGCAAAAGAACCATTTGCATGAGGTGGGTGACAGATTTGGTTATATTTTCTAACCCATTGAGTAAGAAAATGGAATCTAATGATCACATGCATATAAGAAAAACTTACCTGATTCCCCCAAACACAAAATGATCCTCAAAACTGATTAAAGAGTAATTTCTCCCATGAGTTCTCATAAAGGAGACATTATATCATGTAATATCCTTTTAGTAAATTAAGTAGTGAATTACATAACTTTGTTTTTATAATGTCAAAACAAAACTTTATAGGAAGCCAATGTGCTATAGACTAGCTATACTAATCTCTGCAGCTATTTCTCTAGAGAAATCATAAACTTTATATTTCTCAGGCAATCGTTAATAAATGTAGTTTTTCTCAGCTGACATTTTTATATCTAGTTTGTAGCAGTAAACTTAATAAGAGATCAAAGTTCAGCTATTCTGTTGAAATAAAATGTAGAATCATTTGTGTTCACATTCAGACAAACTAAAAATAGAATCAATATACTTCCATGAAAGCTGAAGACTATGACAAAAGTAAATACTGAAAGAGAGGCCCAGCCTATTTCCTCTGCATGGAGAAAGGCTGAGGAAAAATTCTTGGGCTGAGTCAACACATTCCTTAAGAAGTGTTTTGCGGTTTGCTGAAACACGCAAAGGGGGAAATAAAGCCACAAGGTTCTACTTAATAGAGAGCATGGCCATAGTTACTATAGCATGAAATGTATATAATTATATGATATTAAATATGTGTATATACACACAAATGTTCTACTTAGAAAATCTCAGTGATATATTCATATTGCTTTTAATTTAGACTAATATAACTTCTTAGTGTTTACTCCAAGATAAATTGTTTGCAACATAAATACTTAGGTACTTGATTTAATTTACTACAGAGCATTAAATATAAACCAGTTAATAGTTTAGCATGGATGGGGAGAGATTTTACCAATTCTTTAAATAATTATATAGGAAGGTCAATTATTTAAAAATTCAGATCGTCCCCAGTGTTTGAGCATGTCATCCACAGACAATAGAATGCTTCAACTTACCAAAGAACGAATTAGTGACTATAGATTGGGTAATTATCTCATGGAAATAGCTTCCACTTAATCAAAGGACCATGTCTACTGGATTTACGAGAGCAAAAGAACTTGGAATCTATTTCAAGGTCAAACTTCATGATATCTCACATCTCTTTAGGGATTTAAAAGCCACACAAAGTCAATAAAAACCATAATATTTTACTATTTTCTGAGCTTCATCTACAAAAGACTAATTTAAAAGTGGGTCATGGTAGACTAACTGTAGCTGCCATTTTCTTAGGTAAACATTGATATGAAAAGTTCAGGCTTCCAATGTATATAAAAAGAAAGATATACAGATATTTTAGATGGAATGCGTACCAATCTAAAAATCTGGGGGTTAAAAAATTTAAAAATAAAAATAATAAAAATAAATAAAAATAAAAATCTAGGGGTCAATAGTTGCCTTTAAAAATAGGATAAACTATATTTTGCATCCAGCCCGTAAGACTGTACCAATAGAGTTGATAAAGGTCTTTCAATAATTCTAGGTAAATCCAGTAATAAATCTTCAGCAGATGCTTCATTCACTTGAGATTTTTAAAATGAGCTGTAGAATATGCTGGACTATTATTGAAACCTTCTCAGAGAACAATCTTAGATCCATATGAGGATAGTTGAACTGCTTTTGCAGAGATGAGAAGATAAACCCTTTGTGTTTCTATCTTGCTGTAAACATCCACCTAAATTCTTTCCTTATTTAATATCTTCAGACATAGGTTTACTTCACTGAGTTCAAGAAAATAAATTTAAATATGATTAAAATATAATAAAATAAAAGGGCTTTTTCTGATTTTAATTTCATATATGGACATGCTAATTTGGCCAACTTTTTCTCCCTTTTTGTCCTACTTTTAGGACAAAATATCTGAAGTCTCACAGATATGTTTCCACATCAGTGAATGGCTAGATTTATGTAACCTGAAGGATGAGTATATTATAATTTTCCAGTTTCTAAGTTCTTCCCTCACATAAATAAGGTAGTTTTGGTGGCATCACTCACTCTTGAAAGATGATAAAATAAAAGAAAGGAACAAAATTCTCCAACAATTAGTCCTATCAAAATGTCAACAGGTCTGTAACTCAAGTTAATCAAACTGAAGTAGGGGTCTGTCGAAGATAAATTTGACCCAAAGGAAGAAAATTGTGAAACATACAGGGAAAGTTATAAAGGAAGTAGGAAAAAAATAAAAGATAAAGGAAAACACATACCCTTTTTAGTTAGTTTGAGGAGAGAATGATTAAACTAAATAACATTGGCATTTATATCTTCATAATTATAACACAATTTCCCTCTTCCCCAGGAATAAGTACTAAATTGTGAACTCCCAATGGATTTATAAACTAAAGACTATTATAATCAAGTTGCAAACCAAAACCAAAATGAAACACCACCTCACACCTCTTAGAATAACAAGTGTTGGAGAGGATGCAAAAGGGAACACTCATACCCTAGCAGTGGGAATGTAAACTGGTACAGCCACTATGGAAAACAGTATGGAGATTCCTCAAATAATTAATAATAGATCTACCATATAACCCAGGAATCCCTCTTCTGGGTATCTACCTGAAAAACTTGAAAACACGTATTCATAAATATCTATCTATCTATCTATCTATCTATCTATCTATCTATCTACCTACCACCTTCCATCTCTATCTATATGTGTGTGTGTGTGTGTATATATACATATATATCCTTATGTTCATTGCATCACTATTCACAATACCCAAAACATAGAAACAACCTAAGTATCCTTCAACGGATGATTGGATAAAGAAGATATGGTACATATAAACAATGAAATACTACTCAGCCATAAAAAGATTAAATATTGCCATTTGGGACAACATGGATGGATCTTGAGAGTATTATGCTAAGTAAAATAAATCAAATGGAAAAGTGCAAGAATAATATGATTTCACCCCTATGTAAGATATAAAACAAAAAGCAACAAACAAACAAAACAAGCAAGCAAACATGAAAAACAAACTTATAGACACAGACAACAGAATGGTGGTTACAAGAGGGATGGAGAAAGGATGAAGAGGATAAAGGGGGTGAAATATGGGGAGGGAAGGAGACTAGAAATATGGGGAGGGAAGGAGATTGGGTGGTGAGCATACAATAGATTATGCAGATGTCATATTACAAAGCTGTACACCTGAAATTTAAATAATGTTATTAATCAATGTTATCTCAATACATTAAATTTAAAAAATACAAAAAAGAAATAATTTCCAGATCATAAGAATTGCTTGCCCTTGGTCTTATTTTCTGGGACCTTATGAACGTTCCTTTCATGAAAGCCCTTAATAAACCTGATTCATCTGTGTTTGAAGTTGTAGCATGATGCCACCTGAAGGCAAGGTACAGTGAGGGTCACCTGAAAGAGAACTAATAATTCCTGGGCACCTATTTTGTGCCAGTCTGTGCTATAGGCTCTGTACAAGCAATCTTGTTAAGTGCTCAAAATAAATGGAGCCCTGGAGAATTTAGTGTTGCAGAAGTCAGAACTTGTAAGGAACATTTAGTGAGGGACAGAGATCTAAACTTGGCCTGGGTGGCATCAGACCAACCCAGGCCAAGTTTAGATCTCTGTCCCTCACTAAATGTTCCTTACAAGTTCTGACTTCTGCAACACTAAATTCTCCAGGGCTTTCTTATGTGCCTTTCTTCTGTGCCTTGCTTCTTTTAAGGAATGAGATGGGAGTACATTTGAATGCTCATATCTTTTTCAGATGAAGTTAACTGTTCATCTGAACCAACAGATATTATTATATTTAATAAAAAATAAAACTTTCTATTTGAAAATAAACAATTCTTACCTTTTGATTAATAAGCACTGGAGCATCAGTTAAGGAAGAGGACCAGTTTACAAAGTCAGTCACATCAACCGTTTTGGGTCCTTTGAGAAGTTTCTCTTTCAGTTCAAATGCATATTTTTTTGTTCCTCCTCTTATGAGTGAAACAACATCATCTATGATGTTATCTTTTGTGATGTTTACTGAGAGGAGAAAGAGATGTAAATCAAGCATTTATAATTCTGTGATATTTGATAAATATTTATTAACCCTCTTTTGTGTAGTCTAGTGTGTTTATTGAATTTTACTTATAAATATCACTTATATAACTTTTCACCCCAAATCTCCAAGGGCAGTTTTTATTAGTAGCTAATTGTAGACTTCGGTCATTTTTTTTTTAAGAAATAAAAATGGTACAATGATTGAGATACATTGATAATTCAAAGTACATCACTTATGCACATGCACACATGGGAACTAAACTTAGCTTTTAGATGTACTATAATTTTTGTTGCAGACTTATCTTTATAATTATATTTTGTATTGGTTTGTTTTAAAGTATTTTAATATTATTTTAAAAATCAAAGTGTACAAAAAAGGAATAAAGTGAAAGCAAAGTATTTTCTACCCCAAGTTCCTACCCTTCTCTCCCTCATGTCTCTCTGTAGACTAAAAATCATGTTTAACAAACTTTTGTGACTCTTTTGGACTTGAAAATTTTTTGAACTAAAAAGAGATTTTAAGATGATTTTTGTTTATCCTTCTTCATTATTATGGGTGAGAAAACTGAGACTCAGAGATGTAGCACGACAACGCCAAGGTTACTTAGTTAACTTAAGGGCCAAATATTGAAATTATGACATTTGATGGCAAGTTCAGTTTTCTTTTCAATTCATCAGTAGTTTTCAATCATGGCCACACGTTAGTGGTTGGTATGCTTTAAAAAATATCAAGCTTTTCTCTTGTCTGTTTCTCCACTATCTTTAAAGGTGTCTCAGCATTTGTATTTCTGAAAATGCTCTCAGGTATTTATGAGTAGAGTAAAAATTGAGAATTCCAGTACAGCTTCATGCTTGTAAATCTACTAAAGATTAACAGAAGTAGTATTTATACCAAAGATACTAATATTTTTAAAAGGGTTATATATTGATTTAATGTTAAGGATAGATTAGGGATTTCTCTTTTTATTCCAGTTTTATTGAGATATAATTGACAGACATTGTATAAACTTAATGTGTAGACATACATATATACTGCAAAATAATTACCATAATAAGTTTAGTTAATATACATCACTTTGTAAAGTTACATAAATTTTTTTTCTTGTGATGATAACATTTAGGATCTACTCTCTTAGTAATTTTCAAATATACCATACAGCATTGTTAACTATGTACAGCAACATTATATCTTACACCCCCAGTACTTTTTTATCTTATAACTGGAAGTTTGTACCCCTTGACCAATTGGCTGAAGGTGGATTAGAAATTTCAGGTCAGGTAGAAGGTTGAGTTAGAAAGATATTTTGCCTTTCTGCTTTTTCCATAGATACACACGGTACCATCACTTGCTCATTCAGAAGCTTTGTTAAAAATAGGGGGGGAAAGAAAACTTTTCCTCAAGATATTTTTCTACCATTGCTTTCTACTATTGCCATTATAAATACACAAATCTATAATGACTATAGTGTGATTGAGGTGAGCACTATACAAACCTGCACAATAGTGATACGGATGGATACAGTCTATGGGTTACTTGTGTTCAGAATGGTTTGGAAAGCACTAAAAGATACAATAGTTTTCAAACACTTCTTTTTTTAAATAAAAAGAAACTAGACAATAAAGAGAGCTCATAGCAACAGGGCAGTATTCACTGACCACCACCCTTCTTTTATTTTTAATGTAACCATACTTACCAGTTTTACCATCACCCCTTTTTAAACAATCATTTTTATCAATATCTCCTTTGAGTTCAACTCCAAAATTCACAGATAAGTCCACATTAAACCCGAGGCATTTCTTTACATCTTTTAGTTCAATACCTGTTGAATGTATATAGTTGAAAATTATTAAATCACGTCATCAATATCATAAATAAATTTTAATTTTGCTATCTTTAAGGAGCATCCTTACTTGGATTCCTAGACATTATTATTGAATTCAAATGCAAGGTCATATCTGTCCTGCTTTGTCCTCATATTAGAGTCTAGTGACCTCCTTTTGACTTTGCTTGTCAGCTTAATGGCAAAGGACATATAAATTTACCCCTTGTTTAAAAAGGACATAGGTCAGACTAGGGTGGTTATAGTAAAGTCCTAAACCTCTAATACCATAGAAGAGAGACAATAACGTTTAACATGTATTAAATGCTTACCACATGCCATTCTAAGCATTTTGTATGCATTATGCATTAACTAATTTAATCCTTGCATCAGCCTCTTGAGGTAAGTTCTGTTATTATTCTCATTTTACAGATAAGGATACCGAATTATAGAGCAGTTAAGTAACCTGCTGATGGTATTCAGTAATTAGTGAAATTGGTATGTAAACCTAGAGCTGCCTGGCTATTAAGCACTTCTCTGTATTGACTTCATAGTTTGCTCATGGGATTCATCCAACATCTCATGATCCTCTCTGGAAGTCTCAGTTTGTCATTAAGGTAGCTGGTGCTTTGCTTTGAGCAGATGGTTTATATATGAGACAACTTTGTTTGGTCCTGTGAATCAGTCTTGGAAGCTGACTCATTGTGGTATGTGAATGCTCTAGTTATTAGGAAGAAAGAACCTAATATTTACTCAAGCATATAATTTATTGTCTAGTACATGACTTAAAAGGGAATGATTCCTTTATTTTAAGAGTAAACTGCCAGGCCTCACCTCATTGACCATGTTAGTTTTTGCTCTTATTTATCATTTCAGGTATCTCTCTCTCTCCCCCCCCTCCCCCACACACAAATATATGGTGGTTTGTCTTGGAAGCCAACATGATTTATGAAAAAGGAAAGGGAGAAGTTAATCCCAGGGTTCTATGGTCAGTTTTAGAAGTAGAAATCTGGGAGCATTTAGGCATTTATTCAACAAATATATTTTATGCACCCACAATTAGTGAGAACTTGAGAAATATCAGGTGAAATTTCCCATGGGAAAGGAAGGGGGATCAAAATGAAAGACAATGCTTAAAATCCAGAACACTAGATTTCCAACCTTAACCTAAGAAGCATGAGGACTCTGATTATGAAGATGAAAATACCTAAGTGACCTCAAAGACCTTAGAGTCTCTGCTTCAGCCCTGTGGACGTTTCCATGTCCAGACAGAGTCTGGACATCCCAAATTGAGGTGGAAGACATGGCTTTGTCCTCAGATATTGCCACTAGAGAAGTGAGAAAGATGACTTCCTCTTTAAAAACACCAGGACTGACCTAATGATCTCTGTCTATTAAGGCCAGAAGGTCAATAGATTTAAGTTGGTAGCTCTGAGTTGCCCAAGATTAAAGATTTCAGCCCATGGAGATTTTTCACCAAAGAACTCTTAGCCAGATGGGTTCCTTGTGTTTTGGTCACCCAAGCTGATCCTTTCTCTTCTGGTTTTCAAGTTACTCAAGACACAGTCCTTTTGTGCCCCTTCCCTGTGTGATAGCTATATCAATAGAGCTTACCAGGCAGGGCTCAGAGACCTCGTTATGCTACTTGCAGGATATAGCCCTGTGAGGCAGTATAAGCCAAGCAATTTCATATTCTGCTCCCCTGGGCAAGGCCTCTACCTGCCCAAGACCAGACCAAGGCATCAAGAGAAACTGGTTTTGGCCACATATATTTATTTCATTCATAGGGTATTTACCAACTATGGGGACAGTGTCAGCTCTGAGATCATAGATGGATCTCATTCTTTACTTGACACTAACAGAAGCTATGGGGAAGGAGCCATGAAAGTGATTTGGTTTGGGATGACACTTCCTCTCCTAAGAATAATACCCCAAAACTTTGAGAGCAGAGAGAAGAGATATGCTGACATCCTTCACCTCTTTAAGAAATATTATAACTTGCCATAATTATAAAATCAGTACTCAAAACTTATTAACATAATCCCCTTGCATCTACTTTATTCTTAAAAGGTTTAGATAAATGCTTCAGGCCAGAATGGCAATTATGTACCACATAAACCTATCCTATACATATGGCAGACCTTGATGATCAACTATGGCCTTCTTTCCATCACTTTAATTGTGGTCAGAAACCTACTCAACATGGACCCAATTCAAATACCACCATATGATTGGAATTGTCATCATACAAGGTAAAACTAATTTTCCACCCTTGCTTTAAGATGTTAGACTTGTATGGTGTTAACATTGCTTTCTCCCTAAGAGAACATTTAGAACAATATTTTCCTGCTAATACTGAAGAATAATTTGGAAGATGATCATCATACATATAACTGAATCAGTCTACTGAATAAAAAATAAGTTATGTAAATTATGTCTCTTGTACCTTTTTTCACCATTTAAATAGGATTTCATCAAAAGTAGCATTACTGAAGAATTTTGTGCATTTCTCAGCAGTTCTGCTGAGTATGACCAAGTCATCTTGTTTGAGGTAAAAGTCAATTTGCTGTTTGATAAGGTTTTAGATTCTGAAGGGCAGGGAGAGGATCCTCAAAAAAGCAGATTACAAAACTCTATTCTAAAGCCTTTAACTATTGAAAGAGGTTAGCAATAGGAATAGTGGTTGATTAAAACATTATTAGAAGTGAGAGCTCTATTTCTAGGTATACCTTGCTCTTTCATGTTAGCTTTATCCAAAACATATATTAGTTCATAGAATCCTCCTAGAGACCCAGAACTACTGTAGTGGGTTCCATAGTTTTCCAAAAATGCATAATATTCCCCCTTTTCATAGGTAGTTGGCAGAGCTTTTAAATCATCCAAGAAAGTTGGTGTCAGCATAACATCCCGACTTCTCATCACAAATCTTCCCAGATCAACTACTCCTTTCACACGCAGAAACATTTTGTCCTTTGTTGTAGAACAGAAGAAAATAAATGTGAGTTTTATGACCATTATTTCACAAAATCACAAAGTTGAGAATTTCCACAGCCAATACATTTTTTAGCAGTGCCCATAAGATACCACTTTAACCCACTAGAATGGCAACTTTACATACTATCCATATCAACTGTTGATGAAGGTGTGCAGCAACTAGAACACTCTTATACATTGCTGGTGGGAGTGTAACCACTTTGAACTGTTTGGCAGTTTCTTATCAAAGAAAGCACACATCTACCCTATGACCAGCAATTCCATTTTTACAAATTTACCCAAGATCAATGGGAAAAAAATAGTCCACAAAAAGGCCTGCACAAGATTTTTATAGCAGCTTTGGTCAGGACTCCCTAAAATTGGAAATGATTCAAATGTCCATCAACAGGGGAATTGATAAATTGTAGTATATTCACACAAAAGAATACTAGTTAGCAATAAAAATAAACAAACTACTGATACATGCAACAGCATAAGTAAATTTCAAAAATATTATGCTGAGTGAAAAAAGTCAGACACAAAAGAATATATACTGTATGATCCATTTATATCACATTCTAGAACAGATGAAACTAAGTTATGATCAGAGAAATCTGGTCAGTGGTTGCCCCTCAGGTGGTAGGAAATTGATTGTAAAGGGCATGAGGGAATTTTTCTGAGGTTGTGGAACTGTTCTATATCATGTTGGAGAAGGCGGTTACACAGGTGGATACAACAGTCAAAACTCATGGAACTATGTGCTTAAAATCTTTGCATTTTTATTGTATGCAAATTATACCTCACTAAGTTGATTTAAAAAATATTAACAATGGAAGAAAATATAGGCATTATATATGAGGCTCAATCTTTTTATTTTGCAAATGAGGGAACTGTGATCCCAAGGTATAAAATTATTTGCCCCAAATGACACAGATAGTCTGTGGCAACAAATGGTACTCAAAACCTAGGTCTCAAGTCTCCTTGTTTCTTCCACTATGTCCTCTTAATCTTTGATAACAGAGATGGTACAGACAATATTTTGAAACATGGATTTCAAGCCAAACTAAAACAGTTCAACAATTAAATATTTCCTGGGATGATGGCTTAAATTTTTAAGAGAAGAGTGAGACAGTGGTAAAGAACTATGTGATTCATTGCCATAGACCATCTCAGCCAAAACTAAATTACAGTTAGCACTCATGATTCTCCTGAGACTCTTCTGTAGTAGCAGTTGGCATATGTTAATTGCATGGGAGTTCAAAACATTTTATTATTTATTAAAGGTACATCTTCGTGAATATGAAAATCATACCATGATTTCTATGTTCTAGAAGCACAATTGTTCACTGCATTACTTAACTTCAATTGATAATGGGTGAATCAGTCTCTAACAAAAATCCTAAAGGAACTTAGTGCAGATGTAATAAGTCATATGAGTTCTCCGACTTACATAACTTGCATAACAATTCTCAATGGAATCTCAAAGATGCACGAAACATTTGGATTCCTTTTCACTGTTACTAAAATTAGGAGATATATCTTGTCAGAAAGATGTTCTGTTCTTTGGCTCATCTTATTTTAGAGGTAGACCTTAGGTCATTCCCATTCAAATGTACTGTTGTTTCTTGCATCTTAAAGGAATTAAAAATATATATATATATCTTGACCTCTTGTGCAACCATTTGTGGCCTATTTCTTTGCCCTTATTAGAAGCAAATTTCCTTTAAAGAGTTTTCTATATTGGCTGTTTTCAATCCTTCTCTTCTCAGTTCCTCTTAAATCTAATTCAGTCATGCTGCTGCGCTCACAACTCCAATAAAATTTCTCTTGTCAAGGTCACCAACGATCTTCAAAATGCTAAAGCTAGCACTTGTTTTTTAGTCCTCATCTTCTTTGACATACATATTAGCACACTTGACACAGTTCATCACTCTTTTCTCCTTGATAGTGTCTTTTCTTATCTTCCAAGGCAATTCTTCTCAAACTGTAAAATGTGAAAAAATCACCTAGAGAATCTTGTTAAATGCAATTTTGATTCAGTAGGTCTAGAATAGAGTCTGAAGTTCTAGATTTCCAGTGATGTAGACGCTGCTGGTCCATGAACCACACTTTGAGTAGCAAGGTTTTAAGGCCGTGGTCCCCAACCTTTTTGGCACCAGGGACAGATGCTACTATGAGAATCTAACGCCTGATGATCTGAGGTGGAGCTGAGGCGGTGATGCTCGCGCTGAGGAGTGGCTGCAGATACAGATGAAGCTTTGCTCGTTTGCCCTCCGCTCACCACCTGCTGTGTGGCCTGGTACTGGTCTGTGGCCCAGGGGTTGGGGACTCCTGTTCTAGAATATTACACTGGCCACATCTTGCTTTTCTTTGTTGGTTCCTCCTCTTTTTATTGAAATTCCTTGGGTTTAGTCTTTCATCTTCATTTTTTTCTGTCTACGTTAACATTGTTGGTGGTCTCACCAAACCCTATGACTTTAAGCACCATCTATATATCAACAGCTCCCAAATTAATAGCTCAAGCC